AAAAAAAAATCAATTTCAACACCCCGTATCTCCGAAACGAAGCATTTTCGGACACAAGTTCATAAAGACTTTGTTTCTTAAAATTGTCTCAGGAATACGTCACTTGAATATTTTAATGTAATTATGTTACAGCCTGTATAGTCATACTTCCGAATACCAAATGAAAAAAGTCAGCTATTCTGGTCAGCTATTCTGAAGCTATAGACGAAGAGCATCCAATTGTCTTAAAGCAGGTCCATAAACACTGTCGCAATAAGACATTTTTTGCATGATCAGTTACTCGTATAGTCTCATTTTCAAGTTTGTGTTGAGTAAATTACGATTTAGATATACAATTTTCTACTTCTATTCAGTGATGCTGTTCATTTTTTTTTTCAAATTTCAAATGCTTTTTTATCTCTTTTTAGCTTATGTCGTTAAGCGATTCTCGGACAATTTTTCACTACGAATTCAAATTGAATCAAAGCGCTGCCGAAGCACTCCGAAAAAAATTTGCTAAGCATTTAGCAATAATAGTGTTAATGAACGCACTATTTAGCCTCGAAGATGAGCCCCTAAGAGGTCGACCTATAGTAATCCAGGTTTTTGCTGGTTTAGTATTGGAAAGGTCAAAAAGCTTGAAATGTGGGTATCCCACGATTTGAACGATCGACAGATATCACGATTCGGAGTCTGTTCTTTGCTTTTACGCAACCAAAACGATCCTTTTTTGGATGAGATCGTCACGTGTATGAAAAGTGGATCCTCTACAAAAACAGGAGACTTCAGGACAGTAGCTGATACACCAGACACTCTAGCTACTTGTCTGATAGATTGTCGATTATCCATTTGTACATGTCCTAAAACTGCAACTTCAACTCGCCATTTCTGACAGGACTGGATACTTCATGTTTTCTGTTGTGAACAGAACCTGAGTTTGAAACTTATTCATTAACTGTTTAACGTATTGATGACTCACGTTGTGGTCTGGATGATTCGTATCATAAATTCTTGCAGCAGCTTTAGCACATTAATTATTTCGATAATAGGTTGCAACAATTTCTATTTTTTCTTGAGTAAAATAAACCATGTTGGAACACAGTGAACAAGGATGACTCAATAATAATTCGTGAAGAAGTGACAGTGACCAACTATCTACTTTTTGTTCTGCGACAACTAGATTCAACAAAAACTACCAGTGCAGAAAA